TATGCGTCTGTCAGTGTCCCGCTGAGACATGGAGACCTTGGCATGAGCTGGTGACTAGTCTGCCAGCATCACAGCATGTACTTAAGGAGAGATGTTCAGCTTATATAAATAAGGTAAAATGTTGTGCAAGCATACACAGAGGGGCACTAGAGGAGTTTCTGTGATCTATGATCTAATTGGATAAGAACCTTCAACATAGGCCAGAACTAGAGCCAATACTTGTTCAGTATGGAAAGGAATATACATACACATATTACAATGAATCTACAATATCAAACCAAAACAGATGAAAGTTTGAAACTGTCTGGAAATGGGGGATTCTACTTGGTTCTCTTGGAAAGCCTTAAACCAGCTCAGGCTTGCTTGAAAGCCTGGGGGCTCTTTCATAACAACAACAATATGCTTGGCAAAGTGAGACCATAGTGCTGGATGTCCAAGGCCACACTGTATAGCTTTATTCCAGGTGTTTAATAGCTCCACAAAGTTGTTACTGATTTGATACAGCCAAATTAGTCATAGATGAACACAAGGCAGCCACCTGTCCATGGCTGGACTACGTTTCCCTCTGACCTGAAGTCCAATCTTCAGGGCTCAGTGTGCAAGGACTTTATCTCTGAGGCAGGCTATATGACCAAAAAGTTCCAGCTGGCAGTGACTTCAATCCTCTCGAGACCAGTTCTCAATAATACATCCCTATTACTGATCAAATTCAAACCATCAAAAATGCCCATCAGTCACTGTTCGCAATGCACATGAAATTCCTCCAGTCTGAGGCTGGTTCAAACCCCCTTTATGCTCTCTAAGAAAGACCATTCATTTGAGAAGTAAGAGATCAGATCCTAAGTGCTGGGGGCTCCCACCTCCTGGGGAGAGTCACTGGTGAGCCATCCCTGTCTGACTTCCTTCCCCATCCCAAGAAGACAGCAGCCTCTTGAGAAAAAAGGGGGTTGGACAAGGATGACCCACTTCAAAGGACAATCACCTAGGGGGCAGGAAATCCCTGTGCAAACCCCTGCTG